GGGTCCCCGAGCTGCCTGATCCGCCATGGGTCCCGGAATGGGTACCGCCCTGGAGGTCTTCCGTCCTGTGTAAGCCTGTCTCTAGAGGCCTCCAGAGCACTCACCCCCCCACCCCGTTGGAAGTTATGAGGCGCGTGGACGCGCCTTCTGGGAGGGGGAGGTAATGTCAGACCTGGGTTCATGCCCATATTTGTTTCTTCCTGTTCCTGCTCCTAGTGTGTTTCATTTGTCTCAGTTGTGCCTCGTTATCCCCTTGTTCAGTTGTGTATTTAAAGAGTGTTCTGTTCCTGGTTTCGTCATTCGGTGTCTTACGTCATGCCCTGTTTCAGTTTGTATTCCCTTTGGTTGTTAATTAAAGACTGTTTACTCCTGCGTCTCCTCGCTCCGCAGTATCGTGACAACGTGATCCTTCAGAAATCATTTTAATATGCTGATTTGCTGCTCAAGAAACATTTCTTATTATTATCAAAGTCAAACTGTTGTGCTGCTTGATATTTTTGTGGAAACGGTGATAGTTTGTTTTCAGGATTCTTTGATGAATATAAAGTTAACAAGAACAGCATTTATTTGAAATAGAAATCTTTTGTAACAATGTAAATGTCTTTACTTTGGAAGCTTGTTTCCACCATGGGATAAAAAAGGTAATTGCAACTTTTTATCTCACAATTCAGACTTTTTTTCTCAGAACTGCGAGAGAAATTCTAAGGAAAAAAGTCTGAATTGTGAGATATAAATTTACATTTGCAAGAACAAAAATCAGAATTGTGAGATTAAAAGTTGCAATTACCTTTTTTATTTTTTATTCCGTGGCCAAAAAAAAAACAGGGCTGCAAGATATAAACTCAGAATTCTGAGAGAGAAAAATCAGAATTGCGAGATATAAACTCAGAATTGTGATAAGGTAAGGCAGAGTTTTATCTTGCATTTCTGACTTTTTTCGTTTGTGAAATCTGAAAAAAGTCAGAATTGTGACATAAAAAATTGGAATTACGTTTTAATTTTTTTACTCCGTGGTAAAAAGTGGCTTCCAAACTTTTGATCGGTTTCATGTCTCCTGGATTAATAAAAGTATTAAATTCTTGCTTTCAAAAAAAAAATAAAAAATGACTGACCCCAAATTTTTTAATGGCAGTTCTGTGTCCAACATCTGTCAAATCTGCTATACCCTGTTGCTTTAACAGAAACACAAGATTGTGATAAAAGTGAGAAATAAGCATATAGAACTGGTTCAGGATTATAGAAAAAGCTGCTTAAAAACCAAAGATCCTGGATCACAGCAAATCAGAAACCAGAGCAAAGGTCAAGCTCTTCTGAATTGTTTTAAGGATTTCCAAATCAGGTCTGACACCTACTGGAGGACATAAGCAAAGGCAGGCCAGTACATGTGCTGTCAGATCAGATTCTGCACTGCTAAAATGAAAGAAACTACATGCCTAGAGTGAGACTGCATGTGCTTGCTTTGGGTGCCTTTACACTAGATAGCTGAAATATATATCAATATGTTCATCTTCGCAAGAAAATGGCTATGTTCAGAATAGAATAATAAAGTACTGCTTACTATGCAGTATTATATACCGCCTACTCTTTGTAAAATACAATGTGAAACTACACAGTATGAGTATGCAACAATAAACACTGATAAACAGTAATGTGCTGCATTATTTTTTTCCTTTTTTCTAATTTTTTAACCGTTTGTTGTAAGAGTGAAATCCTTAGTAAAAAATAGTGGCTGATACAGCTTCTGGTTCATTTGTCACTGAAAATGAAAGCTCACATTAGGTGCATAAGTGCATATATAGTGAAGTAAATGTTTGCAGTTCCTGATTCTTAAAGGGCTGTTAAAAATGTGAAATGCACATATTAAAAGGCTTGAGACTATGTGTGTTCCCATGTTGCCAGGGCCGGAGTGGGACTCATTTTCAGCCCTGGAGTTTCATGCCAGACCGGCCCACTTTGTTGTTGTTTTTGTTGTTGTTTTTTACTGGCCTTTTCAGTGCCGCCTTTGCGCTTTCTATTATACATTTTTTATCTATTATTTTTTGCTCGCATATCTCCAACAATG